CTTGGCAAAATTGCAAAACCCCATTGGGTAGTAGATTTAGGAGCAAACAAACATACAACAGGCTATATAAAATATTTTCTTACATATTCTAAGTATCAAGGCACTGAAAAAATTTGCAGTGCAAATGGCTCCTTAGTATTGATTGCTAGCACAGGTTCTATTGACTGTACTCCCAATATTAATCTCGCCTCTATTCTTCATGTTCCTACATTTCCTATTAATCCCTTATCTGTTAGCTTAATCACAAAAGCACTTAATTGCAAAATAACCTCTTATCCTACTCATTGCATATTTCAGGAACTGAACACAGGGAGAACAATTGGATATGGTAGCTTGTGTGATGGACTGTATCTGTTGGATGACGATTATCATTTTTCAAATCCAGTTACCAATCAAGCTTTGTTAGGAACATCTAAAAATCATTCCCGTGAGGTTATCCAATGGAGTAGGAGATTAGGACATCCTTCTTGTTTTATTTTAAGCCATTTATTTCCCACTTTGTTTACTAAGTGTGATTTTGATTTATTAGTATATGATGCTTGTGAACTCACTAAACACGTTAGGCATTTTTATTCTCCAATTAATAATAAAAGTTTGGTACCTTTTACTACTATTCATTCTGATGTATAGGGTGCTACTAAAACTATCTTTCTTTCTGGTTATAGATGGTTTATGACCTTTATCGATTGTTCCATTAGATTGAATTGGGTTTATTCGATGAAAGCAAAAAATGAAATTTTTTTATGCTTTCAGAACTTCCATAAAATGATTTGTACTTAGTTTGATGTGCATGTCAAAATCTTAAGAACTGATATAATGATATTTAATACATGAATGTAAACTTTTGTACTTATCTAGATTGTAATGGTACCATGTATAAAACTAGTTGTGTCAACACTAATGCTCAAAATGGAGTAGCTGAAAAGAAAAAAAAATAGACATTTACTGAAAGTATCTACGTCTTTTATGTTTACTATGAATCTTTCTAAACCATATTGTGGGAATGCTATTTTAACTGCTGCTTGCCTTATTAATCATATGCCTCTTTGTACCTTAAACTTTAAAACTCCATTAGAGGTTCTTCAAGGAAAAAACTGTTATATTGTACCACCTAACGTTTTTGGTTGTGTTTGTTTTGTTCATCAGAACGATATAGGCATATTAGATCCTAGAGCTTTGAAGTGCGTGATTTTTGGCTACTCTAATACTCAAAAAAGATACAAATGTTATTATCCTCCTTTTAGAAAATAATTTGAGCATAGATGTTGCCTTTAGAGAATTTGAGTTTTATTTTCCTTCCTAGTCATCTTTTCGGCGGGAGAAATATCAGATGGAAGAGGTGATGGATAACTCTATAGATATTCCTTTCTAAGGGGAGATTCCTATAGACATAGATAATAAAAGATACCAACCACTAAAACCTTTATGAAGATTGGATAGACCTGATTTTAAAACCTATATACAACAGAGTAATACAGACCATGGAGCATGGGACCTCTAATCAATCGTCCTCTCCAATTTCAGGTCCTGCAAATACAGAAGAACAAGAACTTGTGAGTCTTCTTTAATCCCAGTTGATTTTGATCCTAATCCTTGTAATAATGACCTTGATATTCCTATTGGTTTTAGAAAAGGAGATAGCACATGCACTAAACATCTAATATCCCATTTTATCTCCTACAATGCTTTGTCCCCTTCCTATAGAGCCTTTGTTTTGTCTATTTCTTTTGTTTCTATATCGCAGGATTCGCAAGAGGCATTACATGACTCAAAATGGAAGGCTTATTTGTCTAATTTCTTTTGTCCCCTTCCTATAGAGCCTTTGTTTTGTCTATTTCTTTTGTTTCTATATCGCAGGATTCGCAAGAGGCATTACATGACTCAAAATGGAAGGCTACAATGGTTGAGGAGATGAGAGTTCTGGCAAAAAATGAGACATGGGATCTTGATTCCTCCACCAGGAAAGAAGCTGGTTTGTTGTAAATGGGTGTTAAAAGTTAAATGGGTGTTAAAAGTTAAATAGATGGTTCAATTGAGAGATACAAGGCTAGATGGGTAGCCAAAGGGTTCAGTCAAATCTATGGAGTTGATTACCAAGAAGCAATTGCCCCTGTAGCTAATATGAACACTATCAAAATTTTATTGTCTTGTGCAGCCAACTTTGACTAGGAGTTACATCAATTTGATGTTAAAAAAGCCTTTCTACATGGCGATTTGAAATAAGAGGTGTATGTGGAGATTCTTCCTAGATTTGATGATAACAAGACGAAAGGAAAAATTTGCAAGCTGAAGAAGTCATTGTATGGGCTGACGCAGTCATCAAGAGCATGGTTTGAAAGATTTAGTAAAGCCATGTTTGCTTTCAGGTACATTCAGAGTGACGCTGATCACACCATGTTCATTAAACATCATGAAGCTAAGATTAGATTACTTATTATTTATGTTGATGATATTATGGTGACTAGAAATAATGAAGAAGAAATGACTCACTAGAGAAATTTGTTAGCTAGCGAGTTTAAGATTAAGGATTTGGGAAAGTTAAGATATTTCCTGGGATAAAAGTTGCTAGATCTGAAAAAAGTGATTTTTATTTCTTAAAGAAAGTACATCTTTAATCTCTTTAAAGAAACTGGTATGTTGGGATGTAAAAATACAAAATCACCTATTGAAGCTAATCATAAGCTTCAACCTCGAGTGGGAAGTGCGGTTGATGTTGTTAGGTATTAGAGGTTGATTGTGAGGTTGATTTATCTTGCATATACTAGACTAGATATTGCCTATGTTGTAAGTATAGTGAGTCAATACATGCATGACCCTTGAAGTCTCACTTGGAAGTTGTACATCGAATTTTAAGATATTTAAAATCAGCTCTAGATAGAAGACTGTTATTTTCTAAACATGGCCTGTAACACCCACCGACCAATCCCGGAGAACCAGATGGTGGATGCCACAATCGGTGCCGGAGCACCATATTATGTCACTTATTAAAGCTAGATCACAAATTAGAAGTGGTTAAATTTTCATAAAAGTGTGTTAAATTTTTCATAAGAGGCAAGTAATTAACATTTTGTTTTATTTTTTATTACAGAAATTAATGTTTTAAGGAATTTCCTTTACGAAAAATTTCGCAAGAGTTTCCCCTAAAAAATTTACTTGCCAACACAAAGAAAATATACACACTTCCAATTTTCTCAAAACCCCAAAAACTCCAATTCAAACACAACATACCACAAGCACTTCTAAATATCCATCAACATACGCATAATATTCTAAACAACATTCTTTTCAAGGAATCATTAATCATTCATACACCAAAAATATAATAAGATGTTATTTCCTTAAATAATCATAACTCTTAATACATTATAAACTTATTATATCCAACCTCCACAACACAATATTTATTATACATGCCAAAAATCACCATTTACAAAATATCCTACCCATACCCAAAATATGATATCTACTCTGATGCTACTCCTCTGGTCTTGATGAACACCCTCCGCTCCTAACCTGCGCGTGATAAAAATCAACGCGCTGAATGAAAAACTCAGTGGTGCTAAATAACCAACAATTAAAATAACAAAAATAGCCAAGGAAAATCTCACAAATGCTTTAAATTACTCAACTATATAAATACCGAAATCACATTCATTTAATTCAAATACTTTGAAAGCAATGAGAAGCTTATAAATACAAATATGTCTTCATTCTTTTATAGCAACAATAAAATTTCATTTTTCGTTAAGGCTCGTACTCATGCAGAATGAACATAAGCAGATAGATTTGATCGTGGCCTATATTAGCGCCACCCCCATCAACATACTCGTGGCCTATTGAAAGCACCACCGTGCCTATTGAAAGCACCACTGATCGTGGCCTATATTAGCGCCACCCCCATCGCACAATCGTGGCCTATGAAAGCACCACCCCATCACACAAATAAGCGCGTCCGCCTATTTGTAAGGGATGATAACCCTAGCATATGATCATAGCTTCACAATAACAAAATCAATCTCATCATACCACGTTTCAATCATGCATAGTAGAGCCCATCGCACACCGTGGCCTATGAGCGGTGGCTGTGAGCGATGGCTGTAGTGACAGTGCACTCACCTTAGGCGAATCCCACATCGGTTAAGTGTGAGAGGGAAGTGATGTACTTAAGGTGGGCAGACTTAATATAGTATAAAAGTACATAAAATAAATCAAGAACTTTTCAGCATTTTCATAAACTTGCCCTTTGCTGGGTTTTTAACACATAATTTGAGTTATGGGTCTCCAAATTGAATCAAATCAAATTCATTAGAAAGCTAAGATAAAATGCTACAAGTTTTCAGAAGGGACCACAACCCAGATCAAAGAGGAAGATAGCAAACAAAAGCTCAGAATACAGACCAACAGATCAGACCTAATTCAGCAGAACCAAGTCCAATGTTTCTTGAATTCCTACTTCACCAAATACTCAAATGAAACCAATCCAGAACGAGAGAATTCTCAAGACACAGGGAAACAACTTTTATGAAGAACTCAGAACCTAATCTTGTCATTATAGTAGTTGGTCAAAATGGGCAACTCAGTTTAGTAATTGCATGTGGCCGACACAACAGAGTCAGTTTGGGGTTTTCAGCCATAAGTTTGAGCTTATGTATCTCCAATTTGGACACAAGAGGATGGTTGGAAAGAGAAGTAAAGCTACAAACTTTTATGAAGAACATAAAACGTTATTTGCCATTTGATGAGGTTCAAAATGGACAATCATTTCGGATCATACAGGTAAGACCACCATAACAGAACCAGTTTGTGGTATTTTAAAATCATAAGTTTGAGCTAAAAATTATTGGAATTAGGACATAAAAATAATGTTTTGAAAGCTGAGAAATAGAGCTACAACTTTCATGAAGAAGTCAGAAAACAGATGCGGAAGTACAAAGGGGTGAAAAATGAGTTCCAATTCCCACGGCCAGAACATATCTCACATTAAAATTCAGCAATTTAAATCAAAACATCTACAAAGTTCCCAAAAACATATTCAAAAACCCTAACCATTAAAAACAACTTAAAACAATTGTGGAAAGTATTATTGCACTTACCTTAATAAAACAAGCTGAAAAAGCTTTGGAAATCCTTACTCCTTGGCTTTCTCTTTTAACCCTTTGAGGATGGTTCTCCAACCTCTTCAAAGCCATGAAAAATCAACATTTAAAAGGCAAAACCTTGACAAAAGAAATAGTTGCGATGCATGCATTTAAGCATCAATAAACATGTCTAACCAGATTTCTACTTAACAATTCACCAAAAACTTCAAAAACCCACAACTTCATCAATAACATGTCTAAACCATGAATTCTACTTAACAATTCACAAAACTCAAAAACCACAACTTACTTGCTTCAATGGTAACTTCACTTCTCTTTGCTCTTAAGAATTAAGTACTATTCTATGGTTTAATTAGGTAACTTGGTGGTAATTTGGAGGTAAGAAAATGAAGAAAATGAAAAAAAGAGGAAGAAGATGGAAATGGCGTGGAGAAGGAGAAGTGAAGAAAGAAAATAACTTTAAGGTGCCAAAGTCAAATTTGACTTCCTCATTTCATGCCAAATGTGTGGCTAAGATCAAGTCCTAAGTAATCTCATCCAACCAATGGTTCTAAATATTCCTCAAATAAATCTCTTCTACTTCTTATTTAACTCCACCAATTAATTAAATGAACTCCACTAAAATAATTCCTCATTTATTTCTTATATTACACACTAGAAATATATATGCATTTAATACATAAACTCTCCAATAATATTAATTAATATTTTCTTTACCCGCCCTAAATCATGAAACATGCCTCCAAAAATAGTAAAAAAATGTAAATAGGCATAGTAATTATTCTTCGGACTAAAATAATATCAAGTCCCGACCAAGTCCCGGACCGATGGTACTATTCACAGACCGGTAAATCACTATTACCGACACTAAAAGAAAATCAGTCTGTTACAGTTCTCCCCCCTTCAAAGAAATTCGTCTTCGAATTTACCTGGTGTAAATAATTGAGGATGCTGCTGTCTCATGATATCTTCACTTTCCCATGTAGCTTCCTCGGTCTTATGGTTTCTCCAAAGGACCTTGACCAAAAGAATTCTCTTATTCCTTAGTTCCTTGATTTCCCTCGCAAGTATCCTCACTGGTTCTTCCTCATAAGTTAAATCTGGCTCTATAGTCACAAATTCTACTGATATCACATGTGATGGGTCGGACCGATACCTCCTCAACATAGACAGATACGTGGAAAGACATTATGTTATTTATCCAGTTTCTGGTGGTAAAGCTAGTCTATAGGCCAACGGACCACCGCTCAATGATGTCATATGACCATGAACCTAGGACTAACTAAGCTTACCCTTTCTTCCAAATCTCAATATCTTTTTCCACGGAGATACCTTAAGGAAAACTTTATCTCCCACTGCATACTCTACATCTTTCCTCTTCAAGTCGGCATAGGACTTCTGACAATCTGAAGCTGCTTTCAATCTATCTCTGATAATTCTGACCTTATCCTCTGTGTCTCGAATCAAATCCGGACCTATCATCTTGCCCTCACTCAATTCTGACCAACAAAGTGGAGTCCTACATCTCCTACCATATAGTGCTTCAAAAGGGGCCATCTGAATACTCGACTGATAACGGTTATTGTAGGCAAATTCTACAAGTCAAATGTACTTCTCCCAACTGCCCTCAAACTCAATAGCACAAGCTCTTAACAAATCCTCCAAAATTTGAATAACCCGCTCTGACTGACCATCAGTTTGAGGATGAAAAGCTGTGCTGAAGTTTAGCTTAGTACCTAGGGCCTCATGCAGCTTTGAACCAAAATCTAGAAGTAAATCTCGGATCTCTATCTGAAATGATGGATGAAGGAACTCCATGCAATCTCACTATCTCATCTATATAAAGCTCTGCAAACTGCTCCATGGTGAAGTCGGTTCTAACAGGAAGAAAGTGTGCTGACTTAGTTAGTCTGTCAACTATTACCCATATAGCATTTTTCTTTTTAGGAGTTAAAGGCAATCTAGTCACAAAATCCATTGTAACCTTATCCCATTTCCACTCTGGAATCGCAGTAGGGTGTAACAAACCAGAAGGAAACTGGTGCTCTGCTTTAACTTGCTGGCACGTCAACAAGCACCTCCGACACATAATCTGTTGATATCCCTTTCATCGCGGCCACCATAGTGTGATTTCAAATCATGGATTACATTCTCTATACTGCCAGGAGCTAGCCATTAGGGACTTTACTATGAAGCTTCCTTTAAGATACTCTTTCTCAACTCTGTTGACATAAATTTTAGGCACACAAATCTGATCCCCAAAGTACAAGCAGTTGTCATCTTTAATCATAAATCTCTTTTTCCTTCCATCTTTGACTAGGTCTTTCCACAAGGCAATTATCTCATCATCCCTCTGTGCATCTCGAATCTGCTGAAGTAGACTAGGTCTAATCATAAGCTCTACCACGAGTGCACCATTACTAGCTACAGATAATCGAGTATTCATAGCACGTAAAGCAACCAAGGACTTCTTACTAAGTGCATCTGCTACCACATTAGCTTTACCCGAATGGTAATCACTGGTGAAGTCATAGTCCTTAAGTAGCTCTAACCATCTGCGCTGTCTCAGATTAAGCTCCTTTTGAGTAAGCATATACTTGAGACTCTTATGATCCGTATACAAAGTGGCATTTCTCACCATACAAGTAATGTCTCCAAATCTTCAAGGCAAACACAATAGCTGTTAACTCCAAATCATGGTAGGGTATTCTTCTCATGGTGGCTTCAGCCTGTCGGGAAAGCATAAGCAAATCACCTTCGGCCCTCCTGCAATAAGCACACAACCAAACCATTTATGCGAAGCATCACTATAAACATCATATGGTCTTGCCTGGAGCTGGCTGTTGTCAAAACTGGAAAAGCCTCAGTAAGCATTGCCTTAAGCTTCCTCAAGTACTCTGGGCATCTATCAGTCCACTCAAAACGGACATCCTTATGGAGACAGTCTAGTCAAGGGGCCTGCAATAAGAGAAAACCCTGACAAAACCTCCTGTAATATTAGCCAAAACCTTAGGAAACTGCGAATCTCTGTGACATTCGAGGTGTGGCTTCCAATCAAGCACTGCCTCAATCTTTCTTCGGGTCCACCCGAATACCTCTGCAGAAACAACATGCCCTAAGAAAGCAATCTCAGTCCAACCAAAATTCACACTTACTTGAGCTTGGCCATAAACTGTCGTCTCTCAAGGTTCTGACAGGAACTGTTCGTAGGTTGATGATCACTGATTCCTCTTCTGTAGTCTGCGAGATACCAAATATCATCAATAAAAAACCACCACGAACTGATCCAAATAAGGATGGAAATCTTGGTTCATTAGGTCCATAACATTGTGGGGCATTAGTCAACCCAAATGGCATTCACTAAAAACTCATAGTGACCATGCGTGTCCTTGAAAGCAGGTTCTTAGGTACATCTGATCCCTTCACCCTTAGCTGTATGATAACCTGATTCTATTAGGATCTATCTTCGAGAATACACTTAGTCCTCTCAACTGATCAAACAAATCATCTATCCGAGGCAATGGATACCGGATTCCTTCCACAGTAACTTTGTTAAGTTGTCTGTAACAATACACAATCTAAGTGAGCATCCTTCTCTTTACAAACCAATACTGGAGCACCCCATGGAAGATACACTGGACGAATAAACCCTTATCAAGCAACTTCCTGAATCTGTATCCCTGAATCTGTATCTTTAACTCTTTCAATTCAGCAGGCGCCATCCGATACGGAGCAATGGATATCGGTGCAGTACTAGGCATAACCTCAATTCCAAACTCAACCTCTCTCTCAGGAGGTAAACCAGGCAACTCCTCTAGAAACACATCTGGAAAATCACATACTGTGGGTATATCATGGATACTAGGAGACTCTGACTCTGGAGCAAGTACGCAGGCTAAGAACACCTCACAGTCATACTGTATCATTCTCAAAGCGGTATTGGCTGAAATAACATTAGAGAGGTAATCCATCCTCTCCCCCACAACTACAATCTCCTCTTCAGACGGAGTCTGAAGCAAAATCCTCTTAACAATCAACAATGGACCCCATGTCTTAGCAACCAATCCATACCCAATATACACATCCGTTACTCCCGAAAAGGCAACTCTTATCAAATCACCCGAAAATACATACCCATGAATGACTACATGGCATCTCTATACACCTGGATTCAACTACACTACTACACTCTAACCCAAAGGGCTAGTAACCTCAACGCTGTGCTCTAATGTCTCAGCATGCATACTACCCAGTCTACCCACATGTATGCATATGTATGAATGCGTGGAGCCCGGATCAATAAAAGCAAGTACAAAAGTGTAAAAGATAGAGAAGGTACCTGCAATGACGTCCGCCGCATCCCGCTGCTCCCTGGTCCTAATGGCATAAGCCCTCGCCTGTGCTCTAGCCTCTGGTCTCTCCACAATCTCAGAAACTGGTCTCTCACTCCTAGTACCATATCCCTCACTACGGCCTCTACCTCTGCCTCTTTGAACATAGGGAGCTGGCCTCCCAACCTTCAACCTGCTGAGCTGGACGAGTTCACAGTTTTCATAGGACAATCCCTAATTATATGTTGAGTGAATCCAATCTATAGCAAGCTCGCATTACTCTCCAACACACCCCAATATGTCTCTGCGACCTGGCCATGCAGCACCTCTGCCACTAGTAACAGATGTAGCCGGAGGAGCTAATCTCGGAAATATACCCCGACCAACTGTCTGGCCCAGTCTGACCCCCATTTGGGGTCCACCTCCAAATCTCTTGCTACGTCTGGACAGACTTCAAGTGTCCATTCTAGCCTGTCTCTCATTTCAAATAATCTCAAGCTGGTAGACCCCTGAAGTCTGTCCAGACGTAGCACTATGTAATCTCTTATACTGACTGCTCTGCTGGGTCCTCTGACCTCTGGCCTGTCTCTCATTTCGAATAATCTCAAGCTCTAAAGCAGCCTTCACCAAACAAGCTAATGTGGTGTGAGGCTGAGATGTCAAGTGCATCCAGTAACCCCTTCCGGAACCGCTTACAGCTATTTGCCTCAATAGGGACCAACTTAGAAGCATACCTACTCAACTGCAGAAACTCCCACTCATACTCAGAGACAGTCATCCATCTCTGCCTAAGCTCAAGGAACTCTGCTCTCCTCTGATCCGTGTATAGCTCCCCCACATACTTCTCCCAAAACTCAGAGAGAAAATCCCATATAACATCATCGGCTCTCGCCGTCTTAACCATAGACTCAACCATAGAACTCCCACATTATAAGCCTCTTCCCTTTGTAAGGAAACAGCACAATCAATCTATCTCAGGAGTACACATTTGGAAATCTGGTTCAGAAACCCTTCTCTGTAGCTTGGAGGCCAAAATTCTGCTGCAGAAGGATCATCATCTCTGCCGACCCAAAAAATCCCAACCGATACTTTCCGCGTTAGTCTCTGTACGGGGAAGAAGGATAAGTCTGGTTGTGACTGGAGCCTGTGAACAATGCTCCCTAAGCCAGGAGGGGGTAAATTTGTAGGTAAGAAAATGAAGAAAATGAAAGAAAGAAGAAGAAGGATGGAAAATGGCGTGGGAGGAAGAGAAGAGAAGAAAATATCAATGTTGTTACTTATAAGTGCAAAGTCAGAATTTTGACTCAATTATCATTTGCCAAATGTGTTGGCTAAGATTTAAGTCCTGAAGTAAATCTCAATCCAATGGGCTCTAAATATTCACTCAAATAATTCGTCTTTCTACTTCTTATTTAACTCCACCAATTAATTAAATTGAACTCCACTAAAATATTCCTCATTTATTTCTTACTAACCACACTAGAAATATATGCCATTTAATACATAAACTCTCCCAATAATATTACTTAAAATTTTTCTACCCGGGCTAAATCATGCAAACTGCTCCAAATAGTAAATAAAATAGTAAATAGGGCATTAGTAATTTTTCCGGACTAAAATCCGGACTAAAATAATACCAAGTCCCGGACCGATGGTACTATTCACAGACCGGTAAATCACTATTACCGACACTAAAAGAAAATCAGTCTGTTACATGGCCATTTGAAAATCAAAGACTATACAGATGCAGATTGGGCTGGTTCCCTTGATGACAGAAGATCAACCTCAAGTTATTGTGTTTTTATTGATGGAAACCTAGTCACATGGAGAAGCAAGTAGCAGGCTATTGTTGCTAGGTGAAGTGCAGAAGCTAAAATAGAGCTATGACATAAGGATAATCTGGTCCAACATGATCAAACTAAACAGATAGAGATTAATCGTCACATTGTAGAAGAGAAGATAGTCGAAGGTTCCATAAATGTCTCCTATATAGCTTCCAAAAAAACAACTAGCTTATGTTGTTATAAAGGATTTGAATAGCAAATTGTTTCATCCTTTTGTTTGAAAGTTGATTTTAGTGTTTCAGGCTTACTACGGGCCTCGGGGGCCTTAAGCTTACCTGAGCCCTAGTGCCGGTCCGGCCCATGGAATCGGGTCGTGACAAAATATTTAAACAATAAATAATAAAATCAAATCCAAGCATTTATATAATAAATAAAAAAAAAT